CTTGATTTTTTTAAATATATTATTTAATTGATTTCAGAGAGGGAGAGAGTGATCAAAACATCAATGATTAAGAGTGAATCCTTGGGGATTGTGCCAGAATCGAACCCACAACCCTTCAGTCCGAAGGCCAATGCTCTATCCACTGATCCAAACTGGTCAGGACAAACTCTTAATCTGAATTGGGTCAGTTCTCTCAGTATCTGATCCATCAACCACAGCAGATGTCTGGTAAGGTTGTGACACATTCCCAACATCTGCCTCCATAACACTATGAGAAGCCACCATACCTCTCTAGTCTTAAGATACAAGCACTAGAATTCTACTTATTTTTTTCTAAGCTGTTTATTTCCTAAAATTAATACTAGGCCTTTGGTCATTTGAATAGTCATCTTCTTTACCCATGATGGCAACTTAAAATATTAGCTAATGCTAAAGCTATATTACTATTTTTTATTTATGCTGATTTTTATGATATCTAACAATATCTATCTACAGATCAAATAACTTTCTTTTTTATATCTCTAGACTAATAAACAGCAATAAGACCATGAAATAAGAAGTGAATCTGAATCCCAACTCTATCGCTGCCTACTTCCCTAAATAAGTAAGATCTTTAAGCTAAGCCCCAGGGTTCTCATTCACAAAATTGAAACAGAGATAATAACAAACTAAAGAATGGTGTGAGGCACTAAATACAGTTCTTGGTACATAGTAAGCACTAAAATGTTAGCAATCAGCAGCAACACCTACAGATTTACAATGCTTATTTGTAATATAAAGTATTAAGAGAAGGGTCCAGCCAAGAGTGGCTCAGTTGATTGAGCAATGACCTATGCACTGAAGGGCTGATGGTTTGATTCCCTGTCACAGCATACACCTGGGTTACAGGTTTGATCCCCAGTCTGGAAGCGACCAATAGATATTTCTCTCTCTTTCTCTTTCTCTCTCTCTCTCTCTCTCTCTCTCTCTCTCTCTCTCTCTCTCTCTCCCCTCCCCTCCCTTCCTCCCTCCCTCCCTCTCCCTCTCTCCCTCTCCTTCTCCCTCTCCCTAAGCATGTCCTCAGGTGAAGAGTAAAAAATAAAGTATTAAGATAAAGAAAACAGTAGAATACACTTTTTTTAGTTAACAAAAAAAGATGAAAGACAAAGTTGTTTAACAGTGATGGGAGATTAACTTGATTGGAAAAGGAAAGAATAGGACAAGGAAAAAGAATGGAAGAGACAGGATGAAGATCAAATAAATGACAAATAGAAGATTTTACAAAGCAACGTACAGTATTCTGTGAGCTTCTGGCAAAGGGGGCCAAGGATGCTGATTTTCCAGGAGGGTGGGCTCTAGAGAACAGTTAGCAAACTCTGCTCTTGCCAGTGTCTAGGAGACTTGGTTGAGGGGCAGCAGCACTTAGCCAACGGCATGGCAGGAAGAGAGCTTTATTCCATACGTTCCTCCTCAAAGGGGAAACTTTCATAATCATCTCTTGCCAAATCATTCTCAGCCCCACTCTCCTCCTAAAACAAAACAAATCTTCTCTCCTCTCCATTCCCATCCTTCAAACCTTAGTTCAAATGTAATCTCCTCTATGTGGACCTTCCCCAATTCACTCAGAGTTTCATGCTTCCATAACAACATGTATTTCTCTTTCTATCCTGCAAACCATAATACAATTGTTCCCATCCCCTTTCCATACAGCCTAGGAGCTCCTTAAGAGCAAAGCCTATAACCTATTGGAGTTTGTACCTCCAATATCTAGCACAAAGCAAGATGGGTGGAAGATGAGAAGCCCCTGGTACCCTGCACTGCTGCAGGCAGAAACATCAGGATCATGGCTCCTAACTATTTGGGCAACATGCACCAACCCTCTGTTTTAAAAACCTGAGGAAAGCCACAGATGCTCAGCCTAGAAAAATACATACACATGCACTCACTCAAAAAAATAAAATAAAATAAGAAAAGAATAGTAAGCTAGGAGTCAAAGGATTCTGGATTCTACTCCCTGGTTCTGTCAAAAACTCCAAGTTCTCAGAGAAGGCAATTTCTCAACTGACAAAATGAAAATGAACTATCATTTGCCCTTCAATTATCCTTCATTAGATGACTGTAACAAAAATATACATAAATACTAAAAATGTGGAATAATTCTGAAATTAAAATTGTTATATACGAGCAAAGTGTTTTTTATATTGGCTCACAGCTTGCTACTTTTACAGCTATCTATTTTGCCAAAAAACAAACCAAACAAAAAAAAACATGCTGTGAAATAAATTGACTGTTTACTACAATAGCTAAAAGAACTGTTGTTTTTTTCCAAAACCCCAAAGGCCCTATAGTTTACATACCCAAGAGGGGTGAGCACAACAAGTATAAAGAAGCAAAGACGAATAATCCAATTAATTCACATTTGTTCACACCATTGACTACAGATTCCTTTGATAACAATATGCTTTTGTACTAACAAACCTGTAATACAATTGACCAGTATGCTTTGAGATGTTGAGCTTCTACATGTCTGGGATTCTTGATGGCAATCTGAATATTCTCTTCTCTCCAGTTTGACCTTATCATCAACAACTGTCACAGGTGGGTTGCAGTCAACAGCGCTCCCCTCTTCAGAATGGGAAGCTATGAAATATTCTAACTAATGAGTTCTAAGAGACAGACCTTCTGAGGCTGACTTTAATATAAAAAGCCATTGTCGTGCTGGCCGGTGTGGCTCAGTTGGTTGGAGTGTCGTCCAGTACACAGAAAGGTGGCAAGTTCGATTCCCAGTCAGAACACATACCCAGGTTGCAGGTTCGATCTCTGGTTGGGGCACATATGGGAGGCAACCAATCAATATTTCTCTCTCACATAGATGTTTGTCTGTCTGTCTGTCTCTCCCCCCGCCTTCTCCCCCTTCCTCTCTCTAAAAATCAATTTAAAAAAACAACAACACATGTCCTTGGGTGAGCATTTTTTTTTTAAAGCAACTGTCAGGCAGTCACGTGAAGACCCTTAGGGGCTCCACAGAAACAGCGTAAGTTAGGAATCCCTCTACATTTCAAGTCTGCTGAAAGTGGAAGAGGACCTGTAGACACACCCAGGCTGGCCTTCTGTCATTGCCCCTTCTCTACTCCTACCAGCAACCCAGCAGGGTCCTCCTGGCCAGTCTAGGCTCTTCTTTTTATCCATGCCAATCTTTTACAGACAAAGAGAATACAGATATTAACTGTAAAATAGAAAAGCAACAAGTTGTGTCTACGTACTCTGAATGTTTTGACTGTGGAAATACTATAAGAATTTTTGCAAATTCTTATCTGCTTAACTAGTTCCAGTGAACCAGAAATCCACAAAATTAAGACGTTTTAGGGAAAACCACAACTTTGCTTTGTTGAGTCTTAAAGCGGGTATAGGTTTTTTTCTAGAAGTAAAGGCACCAAGGTAGAAATAAGAATAACCAAGTCCTAAATCTGTCCTTTTAGAACTCAACAACAGCAACAAACATATTCAACTCCAGCCTACCCCCATCTTCTTAGGCTTCTTGCCCAAAGCAAGAGTGCTTCTGACTATACCAGGAAAGGATGTGCTTGCTCGTCTTAAATAGAAATGTGTAAAGAACAAGTAACCAATTTATTTATTCATATGCTTGTTTATTTTAGCCAAGGACAACAAAAATGCCAGGCAACTTGGCCTTGTTCCTCTAAGCAACCTCTGCAGAGCTCAACAGGTGTTCTTCACTAATCAACACCTAGTCAGCTCTAGACCTACCCAACTCTTCCATTTCTTTCAATTCTACCCACTATCATCCCTTAAGTCAAAGAAAGCCATATTTCTTGCCCTTCTTTGGCTCATATTAATTGTAATGCTGTCTCTTTACTTTACCAAATGACCTCTAAGAATACTTCCTCTGGCTCGACCCCTTTGGCTTGGCCTTAATGCACTCCTCTTATCTTCTTGGACTTGGTCAACACTGTGCTAAATGATGCTTTCAAGAAAAGAGAAAGTAAACTAAATCTATCTATGTCCCTAGGACCTGGAGCCAACACTTAACTGTGCTTTCAAGGAATCAGAGGAGGAGACTATATCCACACTGGGGGAGCGGGGATCTGGATTAGAATAATTCACTTTCATAAAACACTCTATACTTAACTTCACAGCATTAATAAACATTATCCTTAGCACTGGCCGGGTGGCTCAGTTGGTTGTAGTGTCATCTGTACAACAAAAGGGTGAGGGGTTCGATTCCTGGTCAGGGCACATATCTAGGGTTGCAGGTTCGATCCATGGTTGGTGTAGTCAGGGCACGTACAGGAGGCAACTGATGAATGTTCTCTCTCAATCTGTTCCTTTCTCTCTCTCTAAATCAATATAAAAAACATATCCTCAGGTGAGGATTTAAGAAAAATGTATCCTTAAATTTGTATAAGTGCAATTAGTATGTGTCTCTTCCTGCCTGTACTCCCAACCAGACTAAAAGCTCTATGAGGGCAAGAACTATGTCATCTTGGATCATGATTAATTTCCCTACACCCTACAAATCCCTGGCACACAGGTCTAACTCAATTATTCTAGTCCAGTCAGATAAAAATGAATTAAACTTATGCCTCAACAAAGCTCTGGAATAAGGTAATACTTCCCACATTTCTGGATCTGTTATTAATAAGAATTGCTACCATTAATCTGGAACCATTCTATGATTTTTACAGGTATTCTCATCTAATCCACATGACAAACCTATGAAGTAGGTACTATGATCATTCCCATTTTATGGGAGAGGCATTTGAGGCATAGAGAGGTTATATAATTTGCAAAGCATGTGACAGGGAAGACAAATCACAGGGGAGATAGCAAGGAAAACAACTCAAATCATTCCATGTCTGCTCACCAGATGCTTCTATGTCCTAAGCATTATGTGGCCTGTTTCTGAGACAACCACAGGGCCTTAGGGGTCCATAACTACTGATGAACCATGGATGCAAAAGGCCTTGAGAAGTCTATAATTAGAAAATGAAAATTTAACTCACCTTCCACTGCTCCTCTGGAAGCAGCTTCACGACCACCAGATCCCCATTCAAGGCTCTATTACGAGCAACAATCCCATCAATAAAAATGTCTCTATCACCATCCTAGGTTGAAAAAAGAAATAAAATAATTAGCTTACCAAAGCTTGGAACCAAAAATTATTTCCTTGGTTTAAAAACTATGAACTCCACAATCTGTCCACTGATTTAATAGGAACACTAGTACATAGCCATAAGCAGACGTAGAGGGAGCTCAGTCCCTTTGGAACTAACAGAAATGGTGACAAACACATAAGAGCAGATTAACAGAATACTAACAAATCACCAAGTAAGAGAAAATCTACTACAAGCAGGTCAAAGACAAACAAAAAACATACGAAGCAAAAAACTAGGATTGCATGCTTTCATAACTGAAATAAGAAAGGAGTAGGTTATCCTTAGGTTATCCTTTTTACGTTTTAAATAAAATAAAGCATGCTGATATCTTTTCTACATCAGCTAAATTTTTTTTAAATAAGGGTAAGAGTAAAAAAAATAGAAGGTTTTCAAGAAAACAGAACAACAACATATAATCCCTCAAGAACATCGAGAGCTAGAGCAGCTCTAGAATGTGGGTTCTCTAAGAGGAAGCCAGCAAAATCCTACTCCCCCAAACCTCCCCCCAGAAAAGTGGCAGAAAGAAAATTGGGATTGTTTTTATGGATAGCAAAGTAGATAGCAAAGAAGAAAAGGAATGTAAATGAGATTCATAAAGCATTCTCATGTTCCACCTCTCTCACTGACCTAGGAGCAGGGTAAACTGTGAATGCAACAAGGCTTGGGTACTTTCACCCTCAATCACATGCTTATAAACAACCCACTTTAAGCAGTGTAGCCCCAGTGAACTCTGCAGGTACCGATTGCTAAACTTAAATCAGTGCCAGATTACGTTACAAAAATAAGCAAAATTTTACAAAAATACTTAAGTGGAAAACACAGCTAAGAAAAAGCATGCCTTCAACAGGTAAGTGACAAAATTAAGTATTTTCCAAACGTTTCATCAACAAACATGCAAACATGTACTCTTTTCTTTTATCATTCCAAAAGTTTATACTACATGCTTCTTTTCAGAGGATAAGAGAGAAATAAATGTTAATTTTTCTTAACATTGCTATTTCTTAAATAGCAAACAGGCTTGGAAACTCAAAATTTTCTAATATAGATGCTATAGAATGGATTTAACACTCAACAGATGACTACAGGTGATTACTATGACATGTTAGTCAAAGTTAAAATTAGCATTCCAAATTTACCACCCCCACAGGATTTTAGACACTCAGCAATTTTTATAGTTTCTGGTTACAAATCATAAGAGATCTTTTAGAACAGTCTTTCTGTTCAAGTTCCACTCTAGCCATGGGCTGGCAGCTATGCCTGTATACTCTGCCAAACCTGACCCACCCTAGTCCCTGAGGGACAGCTACCATGTTAGCCACAAAGACAGAATTACCACAGTTGACCTCAAGACAAGCAAGAAAGAGGCAACGAGAGAGTGAACAACTAAAGTGTGACATACCACCATCAATCACTGCCTTCTGCAATTTATAAAGCAATAGGATATCTCTGGCTTCCTAAGAATGAAAAAAGAGCTGTCTGCATGTAGGTCATCCTACCCATTATCATGTGTCAAAACATGCAGTGAGATGCCTCTTTCATGAGCAGTTACACCACCCTTAGACAGCTCAGAGATTTAAGACGTAAGATGCTGGTATTGCCATGTTTCTATCCCAGGAAACCAAGAGAAGCAGGCTGAGTTGAACTTCAGACAACACACAAATCTATAAATATTGCACCACTACTGAGCTCTTACTTCATTCATTCAGAAGCCTGTATCTATTGCAGAATCTCTTATTTTAAAGACACAAAACATGGGAATACCTCAATGTTAAAAGTTTGCATCATCCCTCTTAACTACTTTTTAAGGCCAAAAGGTGAACTGGCTGCAACATCTGTCACCCCATTCTTTTTTATGGCTGAGTAATATTCCATTATATATATGTACCACATCTTCTTTATCCACTCATCTATTGATGGACACTAAGGTTGCTTCCATATCTTGGCAATTGTAAATAATACTGCAATGAACATAGGGGTGCATATATCTTCTCAAATTAGTGTTTTAGATTGCTTCAGATAAATACCCAGAAGTGGAATTGCTGGGTTATATGGTAGTTCTATTTTTCATTTTCTGAGGGACCTCCATACTGTTTTCTATAGTGGCTGCATCAATTTACAATCCCACCAACAGTGCACAAGGGTTACCTTTACTCCACATCCTCACCAACACTTGCTGTTTGTGTCAGTAATACTTTTTATATAATCCAATGGGTAAGACCTAAACTTGAGATATAAATGTGAATCCTTGGCTTCTGGAGGAGAAGGGAATAAAAGAACTAAACTGAGCTTGAGACCAGGTCTTAAGGTTAATATAATAACAACAATATCTATGAAGTACACGACTACACTTGTATTCTCACTAAACCTGTCCTGTAACATTATGAAATACTAGAGGCCCAGTAATTGGATTCATGCACCAGTGGAGTCCCTCATCCTGGCCTGTGCCCTCTCACAATCCGGGACCCCTCGGGAGATGGTGGACTGCAGGTTTCGGGGATGGGACCAAAACCGGCAGCCCAACATCCCCCAAGGGATGTAGTAGTGCGCAAAGCGGCAGGCAGCCAGGGAGGAACCTGAGCCCGGGCGCCATGCTGCTCCGCTTGTGCCTGCAGTCGCCCAGTAGCGCTGCCACGGAGGCAGGAGAGGTTCGTGGGAGAGGTTCGCGCCGCTGCAGCTGCGCTCCCACTGTGGGAGCACACTGACCACCAGGGGGCAGCTCCTGCATTGTGTGTCTGCCCCCTGGTGGTCAGTGCATGTCATAGCAACCGGTCAAACAGTCAACTGGTTGAACCATCGACCCGTTGGTTAGGGTTTTATATATAGAGATGTTAACTGACATCTTATATAATAAAACCCTAATATGTAAATCGACCGAACAGCAGAACGATTTCCTCATCTATAAGCAAAAGTTTATTCCTATAGTATCTTCTGCCTTGAAAAATATATAATTCTACTGCTATCCTATTTATGGTGTCATAGTTGAGTCAGGAATTTAAGAACATTGCTCTCTTAGCTTTGTACAATCAAGTCTTATTCAGAGGCCTGCTGCTAACTATATGCCAGGGTGGACTTCCTTTAATGGAAAAGAGCCTGTTAAAAATGAGTCATGAACATAAGGAAGGGTATAAAGACCCAATGGTAAAAAGCCTTGTACCAAGTCCTATCACCTACATAAAAGTGATGTGAGAACTGACCAAGAAAAAAAAAAAAGCATTACACATTATTTTTGGACAAATGTGCAGATTAGCTCATGCAGTAGAATGAAAGTAGATAGAATATTTGTTTAGGAAAGATTAACATAAATCAGTGGAAAACCCATAAATCCTTTTAAGCTATAAACTAAGGGCATCCAATTACATGAACTGGTGGGTGTCTGGGTGGGTTCAGCTGCTCTGCGGCCTAGTAACAAATGCCACCCTTTTCATTTGAAGTGTGATTTTAAGACTGGCAGAAAGGGTTGTTAACCAAAAGCAAATTTTGTTTAAATCTGAAACAAATCCTTGCCCGTCCTCAATTTTGTTTTACTACTCTGCTTTTTAGTAAAATATATTATTTCGGTTCCAGAGCACATCTAAAATTGAATGTGAAATAAGTTTATTATAAAATTATTGGACTTACCGGGGAAGGAATGAAGGCTTCATGAAACTTCTTTGGATTAATTCTCAATACACCCTTTAAAATAAAATTAAAAATATATGAAACTTCAACAAGTTATACATGTATGATTTTTTATACTTATTTTATTCTCCAATAAAAAGTTTTAAATTAAACAGTTTGATCTAGAAAACAAGTTAGATTATGAGAATTGCTCATTAAATGCATGAAACATGATTTATATTGGTACATGTAACATAGGGTTCCATCAAATACTGAAAGCTCACACTGGCTCCTTGCTGTGAACAGGTAGAGGTAAGAAGTAACAGAGCCTGGCGTGGAGTGGGAAAGTGGCAGCTATTGGGATTGTATATGCCCCTATATGCTGGTCTTCAAATTCAAACTTTTATTTTAAGAACAAGGTGATCAGGAAATTACACTTCACTATATAATGGCCTTTTTAATTCTCTAAGACCTTTCCACAATTGCTTGTTTCTGTGACAATTTTCAAAGTGATACAGGTTGATTTCCAACCTGGATACTTAGACTCGAGGGATCAGATGCATAATTTTTTACTCTAGCCCCTCTGCAGAGCGGAATGAGTCAATAATTCAAAGTGGTCCAGAACCAGCTCTTAATGTAAATGGGGATCCTGGCTCCAATAGCCAGGCCACCCAGTCTGCCTTCAGCTTCATGTTATTCCAGCACCAAATCAGGGTCTGCTTCTATTTATGCACAGGGTGCAGGTGGGGGCTGTGCTCAATACCAGTTCAGTATTTTAGGCTCTTGCAGGAAGTTGTAACCCTCCCCACGTCCCAGCTGCATCTGAAGGCCAATGGAACACATGGGTGGAGGCCATTATTTTGCTAAGAGCCAGATTCAAAGAGTATCTTGAGAAAGCGTTTTAAATAACATTTCCCCCCTAAAAGGTCGAAAGACTCAAAGGTGCATAATTAACAAAACAGGTAAGGGCATAAAATAAAGCAGAAAATAATTCTTTCTTTCACTGGCCCACCATGTTTAAATTATAAATTTCCATGCAATAGTTTATACTACCAATAATATCCCAATACGACTACTACAAATGCTCATTCAGTCCTTAGTTTAATAATTATTTCTTGAATTCTGACTATATTCAAAACCCTGAGATAGATAATATGGAAGAGAGAGTGATGACCAAACTCAGCCCTATTTGAAGTAAAGCATTGGTCATGCTCATATGCATGAATACAAGTCCTTTGGTTGATCTCTTACCCCACGCCTCCTCCCCTGCCTTCCCTCTGAGGTTTGAAGGTCTATTTGATGCTTCTATGTCTCTGGACACAGACAATAAGAGGGTGGTGGGGTCATGTGCTGGGGGCCGGGAGGGGGCAGGGAAAGGTCAATAGGGGAAAAAGGAGACATATGTAATACTTTCAACAATAATTTTTTAAAATGAAATAAAGCATGAATGCTGTGAGGATGCAGCTCACTTTCAGCTGGAGGCACCTCCTTGACTTAATTGAAACCTGGCCATCCCTGTTCTCTTCCAAACCCCATAGATGCTTTGAAGTTCATGCCATTAGCTCCTGCTATAGCTCCTAGGGCTGTCATCTTCAAACCTGATCATATCCCTGATTCACGAAAGCTTTGACTTGTAGCTCACTCCCAATCCTATAAACATTTAATGGGACTTCACATCCATATTGATGACCAGGCAACCCTAACAGTCACTCTAGCCACCTTTTCTTCCACCCAACCCTCGTCACTTTCTCCCATGTTCACACCCCATGTCTTGTCATCATTGCTAATCACACCACCTCTAAACACAAAAAGTCAAATATCATACTTTCTGATTAAAATCTCCTGGCCTTCCAGCTCACTTATGGTAGAAACACCACTTCGAAAAGTTTTCATCTTCACTAAGAACTCCAACCCATGAACCTGACCACACTTTGACTATTCATCATCTTCACACTATGCTTACTCCCTTTCTTGGCTACCTAATTGCCATGGCCTGCCATTACCTCCTGCCCTTGCAAACCTGGAGCCTTGAGTCCACTCTTCCTCTTATATGTAACTAGTAAAACCTCACTCCCAGTTGACCGCAACTATCTGCCTTCTCCATGACTAAACCCAAGGAGCTGAATGTTACTGTAGAAAAAAACCACACAACTGGACTAAGTAGCCTAACATGGCAATCACAAACATGTTTTCCATGGCTTACAGGATATTTGAGAATATTCAAAACTAAGGAATTTCACATATCCTATATAATAAAAGCCTAGGTGGCATCGCACGATGTCGTCACAAGATGGCCACCACAACGTCGTCACAAGATGGCCACCACAACGTCGTCACAAGATGGCCACCACAAGATGGCCAGCAGGGGAGGGCAGTTGTGGGCAATCAGGCTGGCAGAGGAGGGCAGCTGGGTGAGAACAGGCCAGCAGGGGAGGGCAGTTGGGGGCGAGATCAGGCCTGCAGGGGAGGGCAGTTGGGGGTGAGATCAGGCCAGCAGGGGAGGGCAGTGGGGGTGACCAGGCCGGCAGGGGAGGGCAATTGGGGGCCATCAGGCTGGCAGGGGAGGGCAGTTGGGGGCGATTGCACCAGCAGGGAAGGGCAGTTGGGGGCAATCGGGCTGGGAGGGGAGGGCAGTTGGGGGCAATCGAGCCGGCAGGGAAGGGCAGTTTGGGGCGATCGGGCCAGGAGGGGAGGGCAGTTTGGGGTGATCGGGCAGGCAGGGGAGCAGTTAGGTGTCAATTAAGCCGGCAGGGGATCGGTTAGGGGGCGATCAGGCAGGCAAGTGGTTAGGATCCAGCAGTCCCGGATTGTGAGAGGGATGTCCGACTGCCAGTTGGGATCGGACCTAAATCAGCAGTCGGACATCCCCCAAGGGGTCCCAGATTGGAGAGGGTGCAGGCCAGGCTGAGGGACACCCCCCCCATGCACAAATTTTGTGCACCAGGCCTCTAGTAAATATATATATATTTCTAGATTTTGTTGAAACATCAGCTAACCCCATCCAGCAACAACCACTTGAGTTGAATAGCAGATGCTTCTCTTATAGCAATAAAAACAACCACAAATAACACAACCTTCCTAATGCCGCAACCCTTTAATACAGTTCCTCATGTTGTGGTGACCCCCAACCATAAAATTATTTTCGTTGCTACTTCATAACTGTAATTTTGCTACTGTTATGAATCGTAATGTAAATATCTGATATGCAGGATGTATTTTCATTGTTCACGACCCACAGGTTGAGAACCGCTGAGTCTTATACCAATATACTACATGTCACATACAGTTGTAAGAGCCTTGTATCTATTCAACTAATTTAACCCTCAAAGCAACCCTAGGTGATAGGTACTATTATCCTCTTTTTTATAAACCAGAAAACTGAGATACTGAGAGGTGCCCACTTTCACACTACATTCTAACCCAAGCAGTCTGGTTCCAGATACCTTGCTCTTAACTACTACAGACTGCTTCTGTTTGCCATACTCACACCCAGGGCCTCTTTGCTCACTTATGCCATCTACTCCCTTCC